CATGCCCGCCCTTTGACGCGCGTTCACAGAGTAAAAAGCGACGCGCTTGCGTCGCCATTACTCGTGGGGTAAAAAAAAAACAACCCGCGGGACGCGTGCAGCTGATTCTGCTACACGGGCTACTTTCCGGCATTTGCGGCGAGGAAATCAACGGGGCGACGCAAAGGCAAGCGCGGGAGAAAATGTGCGTGAACGTGACGCGCGTTCCCGGGAACTCCGAGGTGGGGACTGGGGGGCCTAAAGAGGACCTGTTACCAAGGTGGCCCTTTTCACATTGCGGCACGAGAGCGCGACTGCTCAATGTGTGTGTCGCTGCGCCAGTCGGAAAGCCCACCCTGGCAAGAGTCCATCTGGCCGACCCTTGGCATGCTGCAACAGAGGGTTCTCAGCTGCTGCGGCGCCTCTTGCGAAGCGGCCCAGCGAGCAGGCGAGACGAGCTGCAGCGGTTGGCGCCGGCAGACAGTCAGGTTTTTTTTCCTTGAAGGGAAAGGCGATTTGAATAAAGCGGAGACGAGGAGGGGGCTGGGAGAAGGCTTTCCCCGTCATGTGCTGGCTCCGCCTCCTCCCAGGGAATGTGATAGTCACACGCAGCCTCTGCCTGTCACAGAGCCCGGAGAGCCCCCGCTCAGCTCACACCGTCTCCTTCTCTCTCTCTTCTCTGTCGTCCTTCCGTCTTTCGCAGATCCGCCGCCGCCGCCGCAGCCATGGACACCCCGGGCCAGAGGAGGAACAACCGCGGCCACTCGGCCACCCCGCTCTCGCCGACCCGCATCACCCGGCTGCAGGAGAAGGAGGACCTGCAGGAGCTCAACGACCGTCTGGCCGTCTACATCGACAAGGTGCGCTCCCTGGAGTCGGAGAACGCCGGGCTGCGCCTGCGCATGACCGAGTCCGAGGAGGTGGTGAGCCGCGAGGTGACCGGCATCAAGAGCGCCTACGAGACGGAGCTGGGCGATGCCCGCAAGACCCTGGACGCCGTGGCCAAGGAGAGGGCCAGGCTGCAGCTGGAGCTGGGGAAGATCCGGGAGGAGCACACCGACCTGAAAGCCAGGTAAGGAACG